ATTTAAACGTTCATACGAAATTATTACTAAAAACTTGAAAGTGCTAAAACCCAAAAGAGCAAAACGTCGAAAATAATTATTTTTTTAAAAGAAAAAAAATTTTTAATCAATGTAATCATTGCAAAAGAAGTAATTTATTCTTTAATTGCGACGCATTAGATGGTTACGTAAAATTTTACAATGATGTAATTGGTTTCGTCCAATGGAAAATGATATTTGTATTTGTCCAATGGGAAGTGGTGGGGAAATTAGTAAACCCGCCTAGGGACTAATTTTCAGTATAAACTACAGTTTTTGTGGGCGCGTAAACCGAGCATGATCGACAAACCGGTACAGATTTAAACAAAAATTTTGACCTAGTGTCATTTGTATCATGAAGAAATGGTTTCGTATGTCAACTCTAATCCAGCCATTTAACTTGGTTAGAATTTCATCAGGATTCCGTCTTGCACCAAGGATTTCATCGTTTCTCCAAGAGCTTCGTTTTTCTTCATGTAAAATATTTTCACTGAAATCTCATTATGAAAACTGACAGCAAAGAACTTATACGTCTCCCTTTTAAAGCCTCTATAAATGAACAAGTGCGAGAAAAAGAGGTTCCAAGAAGGCTACCAAAGTTTCTCAGAGCTACAAGTGTTTTAGGAACAAGAATATTTGAAACGGAAGGTGGCATTGATAAGGTTTATACTTTTGTTGGCATCTCATATATTTATGTCATACCCTGACTTATAGTTTAAATTAATAGAGGCTGCAACTTCCTTATTGTGTTCCCAACTTTTATGACTTCCGCACATCAGAAAGGATGTTATTTGCTGATAAGACAATTTATATTAAGTATCTGGAAAGTCACGAAAAAATTCAGATACACATTTCTCCAGCCACGACACTTTGGGAAATCAGCATTTCTTGCGATGTTGTGTGCATATTATGATATTCACAATGCTGAATGCTTCAATGATTTATTCGGCCCACTCTACATCGGCAAGCACCCTACACAGTGGCACAACAAACACCTCGTTCTGAAGTTCGATCTGTCGTTAATTGACATCACTGGCTCAGTTAGCGAAATGAAAAAGAGTTTTGTTGACTATATTAATGCAGTGCTAAGGGATTTTGTTATGAATTATTCAAAGGAACTTGGATATCCACAAATTGATCAAGTACTTATCACCAAAAACGCTACTGTATCGCTTCGAAATATTCTGGTAAATTTTTTTCATTTTTTATATCAACACTTCAAAATATAACACTTAATATTATTATATACTTACCATACATAGCTGCTAGTTAGTAAATGTGAACATACTCTATTTGTTGGAGTTGATGAATATGATGCCCCAGCTAATAACAGTGCATTCACAGACGCGACTATGACTATTGGGTTGGACGAGGCTACACTCAAACATTTTGAGAAAATTGAGCAGTTCTTTAAGAGTAGTTTTTTTGCAGTGCTCAAAGAAGGATGTGGAGGAATTAGTAATGATCGTGGCGCTGTCATTAGCAAGTATTTTGTGACTGGTGTTACTCCTGCATTTCGCAGTAGTATGAGCCCCCTTCATGAAACTGTAATTGTCTCGGGTAATCCTGAACTGCATGGCATATGTGGTTTTACCAATGAGGAAGTTACAACACTCGTTCGGCACTACCTTAGCAAGGACGAACAAGAAACGAACAAAATTGTCAATTCTATGCGGAAATTATACAATGGATATTGTTTTGGTAATACTGCCTATGACAAATCTGATCCGCAACTACCTCTTCTATACAACCCACAGTCAGTATTCCACTACATTCGTACGTTTGAAAGATCTGGAGACGCCGTGCCTAATGAATATGTCAATTCGCATATTCTGAAATCTATCGCAGACATTGGGGAATTCTCAGTAGACGATCTTGTCCAACTGGTTATTTCTGGATTTGTTGAATCAGATATTATGACTGGATTTAGATATGCTGATCTTCTCAATGTTGGGAAAGAAAAGGATATCACTTGTTCTCTTCTTTTTTACTTGAGACTCCTTACTCGTGGCCCAGAAGAAGGATGTCTATGCATTCCAAATGATATTATCAAAAAAGAAGTATTTATTGGTTTTAACATGCTAATATTGATAATAATATTTTCGTTATGTAGATTTTTAAACGAATCATTAACTATTTGTGTTCTCTTGATGCGATTAGTCATTTGATGGGTCCAGCATTTGATGAACTTGCCTATGGTGATATTAATGCGTTTGTCAAGCTTTTAGAGGTCTTTTTACAAACAAGAACACTAAGGTCACTACAAACAGCAAACAAAAATGGACTTCAGAGTATTGTTGAGATCCTTTTAGACAAGCAGACCATGTACATACCAGAGCTTCAGCTCGTGGTTGATGGTACCAAAGAATATGGTAAAGGCCGTAATGGTTTTATTGATATTTTCATTCCTCCACAGGCTACTGGAAGTATGATAATGCAAATTCCTGGTATGATATTGGAATTGAAATATATCACATTAGAAGGCCTAAGGAGTGGAGAAACAGAAAATTGGAAGAGAGTATTTGATTATGATATATTGATGGAATTTAAGAAGAAAATTCGTAAAGAGAATGAGCAACATTTACTTGCCAGAAATTATATGTATTGGTCAAATAAGTTGAAAAAACCCGTGTTGACGACTGTAGGTGCTGTTATCGAAAATGCAATAAAACAACTCGAAATGTACATGAATATAGTTGCAAAAGGCGAGTCAAAAACGTATTATGATTTTGGAGTACTGGATAATAGAGTTGAAATTAAAAGAGGATTTGATGATTTACGAGGATATGTTATTATGGCAATTGCAGGGGACCATGTTCTTGTGCATTTTACAAAATTAACATCAACTTCAAATAGATATTACAGTATGCTTTGAAAATATGAAATATGTTATTATTCTTTATTTATATTAGTTAATAACAGTTAAAGATATTTTATATGTAATAATTATAATATTGCTACTATATAGTAATAAATAGCAAAATTCTTTAAAGAATAATATAGGGTTGAGTCAATAGAAACCAAGCAAATAATTTTAATAAGTTTTTTAAAATCTTTAAACAAGGATAACTTAACAAAAACTTAATCAAATTATTATTTTTTAAATTAATTCTACAAGTTTGTAAAAATTATTTTAAAAAATTTTTATTAAATTTGGTCAAGGTTTCATTAAGTTATTGTTTAAAGTTATAAAAAATTATTATAAAAATTTTGCTTGATTTCTATTGACTCACCTCATATACTAATTTTTTGTTTAAAAAATAGCAAGTACTGTATACTATATTTTACAAAACAAAATACTAAATCTTTAACTTTTAGTTGTAATAATTTTAATTAAAGAGTATAAAAATATTTTTAATTAAAAAAGCAATAACAAATATATTTTTCAAAAATAATATACAGTATTATTAACTTTTGGCTTTTGATAATAATTATACTATATATATATAATAATATAAGCAGATTCTGTAAATTGGACCTTTTTACTTGTCTCTAAAAATAAGAAATTTAATATTAAATAAATGGTCAAATAATCAGTACGTCCTACAAGCACCCTCAAAATAAAAAAATCAATTATGAAAGTGAGCCTAACTGATTACTCCACGTGCTAACTGATTACTCTACCATTATTAAAATAAAAAAAAACATTCTCGAAATTATTATATATATAAAGTTTAATGCCTATTGATTGTACCACCCGGCTAGTTATGTAAAAATCTGCTCATATGATTGGTATTATAGTACGGCGGTCATTGATCATAAATTATATTATGTTTTTTTTTTACTGTAGTGCAATATAATATAAGTATGGATGACGTTTGCATCGTGCAAGCCCGATTACAAAGGCCGAATACGACTTCGACCAAAGGGCAGTCACTTGGTAGTTGGTCTAATTGGTAGGACCTTCGACTTTGATTCGGAAGGAAGAAGTTCGAATCTTCTCTACCCAGTCGTCTAAACGACCTTCGACTTTGATTCGGAAAGAAGAAGTTCGAGGCTTCTCTTCCCAGACCTCTTAAGATAACTACTTGCCTCTCTCTTCTTAATCAGTGGGGGGATCCATATAACAAGCAGGGATGACGAAATAAAAAGAAAGCGATTTATAACATAAATGGTGTAATACTCATGGCCGTGCTATAATATTGACATTAGCAAATACTTTCAAAATTAAAAAAATAATGGCGAATATATTTCAAGGATAATAGCTAACTTTCTGAGCTCTTAGCATAATAAATTTGAATCAAAGTTAAAAAAGCATTAGCAGATATATTTTTTTTAAAAAAAATACATTTTTTATTATTATTTTTTTTTTAGACAAAGATAATTTGCCGTATTGTCGTCCCATTGGCGTTATTTAGAGCAATGGCCTGAACTAAGCTTAATTTGCGTTAAATTTTGAAATTACACCCCTGCGCGTTATCACGACAATATGGTAGCAATTAAATTTATAGATAACTAAGAACCTAATAAATATATTCGAATCGACTATAGGTTTTCAAATTCTCTAACCACTAATATGATTTGCATTTTTATTTCAAACCTAAGTACATTTACAACATATATTGTATATACAGTATATACGTATATACAGCATATATCAGATATGTTGTATATATAACTTATATTAAACATTAACATTTAAAAACTAGATTTTTCTAGGAAAAGTATATTTTAACTCATTTTGACGTTTTTTTGTACATACATGAACAATTTTTACAATTGAAAGTAATTTTCCTAATTCCTCCATTTTACAGTTTAAAATATATATTGAAGAATATTTATACATAAAATAGAATATACATGAAATAATATTGTTAATAAATACAAAAGCAATGAGATTTAAAACAGATTGTTTTTTGTTTTAACGAAAAGGAACTTGATAAATGCATCTGTAAAGTGAAAATCCCAAGATATCCAGGTACATTATTTGTTTGTTCTTTGTGCAAATACGATCTTTACAAACGTGGAAAACAAGATGCACTGTAACTTAAGGTATATGTAAAAACAAGGATGAGGCACTTTAGTACAATTTTTGATCGATTGGTTCTATTATGCCTTGAAGCATTAACTTTATGTTATGTTCCTTGGTTGATGTTTTCGGTAAACTATTAATGCGATATAATTGATGCGCAAACCCTTTATTCTCATTTTATTCATTCATGCCTTTCATTTTGTCCTTGACTTTTTGTTTACGAAATTCGAATAATTCGTGTGCTAAACGAATCAATGAATATTGATAGCACCATTTAGTTTTTGCGTACTGTAATCTCAATATCCACCAATGAAATATTTATTTTCTTTAATTGAACTTTAAAGCAATCCAAGGTTTATAGTTCCATTATGCACAGCCTCAAACAAATAAAAGTTTCTTTTTGTAAAGTGCATATATGTATAACCTTAAACTGAAATATAAAATATTTTTTGTCTACCGATTCACATACTGTATGTATACAGTATATACATTATATATATATATAGTATATTATTTATTTATTATATATTTATACACACTGTGTATACTCCAATAAAGAAATGCTTTATATCCGTTTACCTTGTTCATCTAATTTGTTACTCATTCTATTAGAAAGAAAAAATGCACATTTTATTCGATTGTAAGATTTGTGACGCGAAAACTTTCGTATAAAAGTAATTTCACGTGATTTACCTCTTTGATGAATATTGCATAAATGTTATATCGC